TTTTGGTTTTTGGTTTTTCTCCGGTACCGGGAACCAAACTCACGACCTTGCGCTTGCCAGGCAGGCGCTTTGCCGCTGAGCTAAATCCCCAGCCCCGAAACTGATTTAATTTGAAAAGGACAATTTCTGGAAGTTAAGCTAATCCTGGAATTTATAGAAGATACTATTTCTAGAAAATATGCTACAGATGTTCTCTCTCAGAAGTTTAAAAACACCTTTCCAAGTTTACTTTTGGGTTAAGCCAAAACTGAAATTAGTAGCCTTTTACAAATGAACGGTACCATACATCAGAAGCATGGGATGTGGTTAAAGTAGTATTCTGAGAACAATTTATAGCTTTAGTAGATTAATTAAAACATAAGATTAGAAATAAATAAAGCAAACATCCAACTCAAAGGCTGGAAAGTCAACACTACCACCATCACCACCACCATCACCAGTGCCACCATTGCCAACATCTGCACATACACATAGGAATTCTCACCTGAACTTTTGCATAGGTCCAGATAGTGGGATGTGTTTATATCAGGATATTTTCTGAATGTGGTCACTATTAGACATGTTTTTTTGCTAATTGCTAATTATAATTCTATATTGCCTTCGTGGAGAGTCCCAAGCTTTCAGAAGGACATAGCCATTCTATGACAGCTAATCATGTTTTATTTTATCTAGGTCATCTAGGAATGTATGAATTAGAAAAGATGGAGAGGGTGGGTCATGGGAGAACTGACATTCTGGAGAGAGCAGTGGGTCCTTCCAGTCCATGACTAGGTGAAGAATCATCTTGCTGGGTGATGTAACCTGTGCAATATGGTAGTGGCATTGGTGATGACACAGAGCCCTACATGTAATTAGCAGGGTCCGATGATGGGGAGACCCTGAGCCACCAGCTGGAATTTCTGGGTGAAGGGGGGACAATGTGCTCACTTCCTGTTCTAGGTCTACTTGATTATTAATCTCATGGCTAATCAGGAGACCAGACTTTCTCCTCTCCATGGACATCACCCTGACAGGATGTTAGTGACCAAAGGTCCTGGGTAGGTCCATCTGGTCTCCCTAAGTAGAGCAAAGAAGGCTTCCAGTGCTCTCACTGTTCAGATCTGCCTGACGCTGAGCTCTTGTTCAGAATAGCAGCTTGAAGAGGAAGATCAACTACTTCCCTTTGATGTTTCCTCTACACTGGTCTGGACAATGTATCCTACTTCTGCTAAGAAGAAGGAACAAGGAAACAGGTAGACTTAAGAGCCAAAGTCTTCAACCCATCTGGGGGTCTGTGACCATGCACACCATTGACCAGGAGTCAGAGCTGAGAGACATCTGGGAGTCAGTCTCCTTTTGACGCATGGGTGCCTTGAGCAAGACACACTGTAAGGATGTCGGAATCATTAGACTGTGTGTCTCATGAGGTATCTGTTGTCTTATTTGTCCACTTGAAGCTTTGTTTTGTTTGTTCATGTTTTTGATCTACAAAATGAGTAGAATGATAGTGGTTATCTCACAGGCTGTGGTCTGTTTTCCATAAGGAAATTATGCATTGAATTTACATTAATGTTTGGTGTTTGACAACACATCAGCTAAAGGGTAGCTATAATGTGACTTTTCCTTTTATGCCACTTTCTCATTTGAAAACAGAATAAAGACAATCTTCTCGACTATTTCAGATGGGAACTAAAATATATAAGGTTGAGCCCTATGCAATGATCTATGTTTGATCATTTTTGACCTATAAAAACAGCAATTTCATGTGGGTCAACCTGATATAATGTGATATGATGATTCCTATCTGTTGAGACTTATAACTGATTATAACTATGGATTGTTATTTTATGTCTCTTCACTTCCTACTTATTCATTGAAAAGCAGCCCTCAGAGAAATAAGAAGACTAGTACTATATTTGTTTTCCTCTTTGTTTCATTTTGTACTTCATGTCCCTGCTATTTGCCCACAATCATAATTTTGCAGAGCTCTGTAGGGGCAGCCCTGTGAATCAGAAACCTATAGAAGAGGGTAGATTTGTTAGTTTCTCTGTTATGCTGCTAATTGAATTGATAATTGCCTAGGAGACACACACAGACATATACACACCCAAAACAAATGTCAGGCCACACACTTCCTCTCGACAGTAAGATGAAGATGTTTTAGTTATTGAAACTCAGATGTCACCTGGAAGAATAAGAGGAGGGACTGGAGAAAAGACGAGGGGAGTGGAGTCGGTGCTGGGGGGAGGGGGAGACAGGCGATTCCTCTTGGTTATCAAGTGAAATGACTCCCCAAATATGACAATAAATCACCACAGGAATCAATCAGACGGGAGGCCACTGCTCCATGCTGATAATGCATCAATCAATATTTAATGTTTACACTTTAATTAATCCACACATGGGAAGCATTCTTTCAGTGACAAAAATAAAGGGATGAGAAATAAAACACCTTTTATATCAAGGAGCTGGGAGTGCGCTGCCTATCTGGGTGGCTTTGATTGGAGCTGTCATTGATCACTGAGAGCCTCGACAGCCACCCAGTCACATTTGGATATCAAGTTAGTGTGGGGGAGGGGCCCTGAGGTGTCAGAATCCAGGCTGGAAGACTGTGACTTCCTCAGAACCCTGGCGGAGTATGGATTCCTGTGACGGCAGAACAAAACCAGAGCAAATATTGGATTTGAAACGTTGGTGACATCTTCTTCCCAGAAAAGATTTCTGCCCACAGATGGTGATCTGTAATTCTGGGGGAGGCAGGGTGAGCTGGAAAGACGTTTTCTCCTCTGTTGTGAAGAGTTCAGGTTTAGTCTTGAGCATGGGGATTCCAGCCACAACCATCAGGACTGTTGTAGGACATTCCTAGCATATATGTGTGCTTTTTACCCTTTGCCCACCTCTCATCAAGGGTAGTTTTTAAATGCCCACAACCTGCATTAGTTATAATTGGTATGTAACAACATAATAATTTGTTAGAGCTCTGCTCGGTGAGTTAGACTCATATTACATTTCACAGACATTTAATCAAACATATATTACTTATGATTTTACAGAGTCTTTGGATATTGTGCAGCCAATGCTTTTTGTCTTAGGTTGCAAATCTTCTCCTTCCCTACTTGTACCAAGCTTGGTTGCCTGTCTTTGAGCAGAATAAATTCTTGTACGATGCAACTCTTCTCTGTGTACCCACTGTGGTCTCATATACCAGAATCACATTGTGGCCCATCTGCTCCACCCAAGTTAGAACAACATACTAATGCTTATTAGTGGAACCCACACCACAGTCATCTGATGCATACTATATTGGTTTCCTTTTTCTCCTTTTTTGCCCTTGACTTATTTGCCATTCCTCCAGGTTTCCTTGTGATTTATTAAATTTATTTCTACAATATTTCCCATTTCTCCTAACATACTTCTAATTGGATGAGCAGAATTTTGCTTTTTTATAGTATTGGGGGTTGAATACATAGGTTCGCACTGAGCTGTATCCCCATCACTTTTTAAAACATTCTGAAATTTTGAAACAAGGTTTTACTAAGTCCAAACAGCTAGCAAAGAAAAACATGAAGAGTCCATCAGAACAGCACTACTGTTGCATTTCTCTCCCACATGGAGGCACTGTTGAAGACCAGGCCAGTGCAGTCTGGTAAGAGTCCATTATTCTGGTGGTGATCTCTGCTGGTACACAATGACACACCATATTGGCTTAGTTTCAACTCACATATTCTCATTTTACTCCCTTAAACGTTTAATCAGGGAGGCCATACCTGAGATGCTTCTATTTGAACTATGGACAGATCTCTGCA